AATGGTAGTAGCTGTACAAAAGTGTGGCATTGCTAGAAGCACTGTGACTCGGAAGCTCCCTACGCCCTGCAGGGACAAATTCCAAAGCCTCTCACATGTCAAGTCAAGCAATGCTGTACCACTGAGCTACACGCCCAAAGCAGAACTCTCCCTCATCTGAAACTCCCTCTGAAGAGACGGAAGCACCAAGTCCCACACTTCCAGTGTCTCTAGGCCATGACTCCCAACCCTTAACAAAGTCCTACCCACAGTGTCCCCTGTCAGATCCACCTTTGCCACTGATGGGACAGTGATCATATAGACAAGCCCTGAACTGGCCAAGGGCTCATGGCTCACCCTCTGGGCTCCTTGAACACAAGACTCAACTGTGGTGGGACCACCCTGCCCACCCAGCATTACTCCCTGACACCTCTGCTAGGGTTGGTTGTTAAGCACTGAGTCTCCTTGACTTCTCACACCCTTTGGGGACATCTACCTGGCCAGTATCCCCGCATCAGCCAGGCCCAGCTATGAGGGTCTCATGGAGCACTCCCTAGATTCCTTGACTTGCTAGTGGTGATGGTGACTGAAACGTGTTAGCAGAGGTGAACTGTGTGTAGGTCTCCTCTTCCACATGTCTCTGGTCCCTGCCATAGAAGCACACAAGGGCTGCGTTCTGAAGCTCCATGCACTCCTCCCACAGCAAAGGAATTCTAAAAACACAGGCAGGAAGGCCGGGATGCTATCTGCAAGAAGAGCCTGCCAGGTTCCTGTCACCAGGGCACTGAGCCTAATGTAACAAGAATCAAATATTCTAACAGCATGAAGCAAGAAGTCCCCAAGGCATGGAATAAGCAACCAGCTTGTTTTTACACACAGAGAGATGGGCTCCACAGCCTGGCTGGCTTCTCTGGTTACTCAGGTAGCCTCACCTTTCCACTGTGATGCCAGAAAACTGCCCACTTGCAGGCTGAATTGGAGTTGGGGGAGGGAGGCTGGGGTCTGCCAATAAAGCAACATCTGGGGCTCTCAAGTAAGGTACAGTCAGAGTCCATCGGCCAATGTAAGGGAGCAGTCTTCCTGGCCGGCGGGCACTTAAGACAGCAAAGTCCCCCAAATGAACTGCCTGCCTTCACCTGCTTTCACAAGAAATAGAGCACTGCAGTCAGCAACACATGCAGTGCCCAGTAGGTCTCAGGCACCAAAGCTGGCTCTTCACCCCTGGTCAGCCCCTCTGGTCCTGTGGTGGAGATGATTGCCTTATAAATCCCCTGACCATGCTCAACTCACCTCAGTGTCCACCTAGCTAGGGAGGGGAGGACCTGCATTGCCACAGAATTCTCTGTTCACAAAAATCTCTAGTTTTTACCTCATTCCAGAAAATATAAGCCTGGCTGGTGAAAGGGCCAACGACAGCAGAGCAAAGGCATGGCCAATAGAGGCAGAGTTGACAGACAGGGGCTCTTATACCTCCTGGTAAGCTGAAATTATTAGGATGGAGAGGGTACTCGAGAATGAGTTATCACTGTCATCATCATGCTCATCACCACACCGCCATGGCTGTCACAGTCACCATCACCACTGCTACCACCAACGTCATCACCAATTCCACCTACCACGACAGTCAGGATCACCACCACTACAGTCAGGATCACCACCACCACCACAACAGTCAGGATCACCACCACCACCACTATAGTCATGATCACCACCACCACCACGACAGTCATGATCACCGCCACCACCACGACAGTCATGATCACCGCCACCACCACCATCACCACCACTACAGTCAGAATCACCACCACCACCACTACAGTCAGGGTCACCACCGCCACCACCGCCACCACCACCACCACCACCACTACAGTCATGATCACCACCACCACCACTACTACAGTCATGATCACCACCACCATCACCACCCCTACAGTCATGATCACCACCACCATCACCACCCCTACAGTCAGGATCACCACTGCCACCACCACCATCACCACCACTACAGTCAGGATCACCACCACCATCACCACCCCTACAGTCAGGATCACTACCACCACCACCACCATCACCACCACTACAGTCAGGATCACCACCACCATCACCACCCCTACAGTCAGGATCACTACCACCACCACCACCATCACCACCACTACAGTCAGGATCACCGCCACCACCACCACCACCACCATTTTCTGGGAAATGAAGAAACCAAACTGCCTTTTATTGAAAATGACATGAGTTTCTACAGAGAAAATCTCACAAAAATTACTAAACAAACATCCCTAAAACAGCCACCACCAACAACAAAAATACTTCTAGAAAAGCAAGTCTAATAGAATGAAAACGAAGGGACGGGGCTTCTACTATTCTCTTCAAAGGCACGTCCCCAACTGCCTGAAGACCACATCCCAGTGGCACCTTCTGGAAGTTTTTATCACCGTGGACCTTTGGGAGATATGCAATATCCAAACTACTAAGTATGTATCCCATCACCACCATCGCCATAGCTACCATTGCTGCCATCACAACCAGCACTATCTGCAGCATGGCAGCACCATTATTTCTACTGGTGGCTTTCTTGCATTCAAGACATGCTCTGGAAGGTGAAGGATTCTACTGACTTTAGGATGCTGAGACCTCCACAGCCCACAGTGGTCCTGCATCCACAGCCAGAACTGAGAGTTCAGCAGGACCTGGCCCTGGGATCAGGAAGCAAGGTAGGCCATGTAGGAGGAGCACATGGCATAGACACAGTCCAGAATATCCGTGTGTGCACAAGACTCAGAACGGCCGTAGTCAGGCAATCCCACGTCCACCATGGGGCCAGGATTCACACACAGCAATGACCTGGGGACAACATGAAGCCTTTCATCCTCTCTGGGCCCCTCCTACTCTGCACACTCCAACAGACAGCCAAGCACTGAGGACCCTAGCCCAGCAGTCCCCACTCCCCTCCCCACCATCTGACCGAGAAAACAGTCCCGGACAAACAAACCTGGGAATCGTTTAAAGAACAGGGTTCCACACCACCACAGAACTCTAGGGGTCCACAACCAGCTTCTTAGCCATCTGTACTTTCCTGAATTCCTCTGCCATGTCTGGGGATTTCTGCTTTACAACACATTTTACTAAACTTTTCCCCAGAGACTGGGAACAGGAACCCTGAAACTTCAATCTCGAGATCAGGACCCAGAGATGGTTCAGTGGTTAAAGCCCCAGCTGCTCTTCCAACTACAGTGTCCTGCTGCTTGTCTAGTGACGGATCCCAGCATGGGACAGGTAATGTAACCTGGCTTTCTTCACACCTCTTATCGCCAGACACTGGCGCGGAGCTTCCTTTGCACAGATGGCATGAGTGAAAAGTCACAGCAGCCCTGCCCTGTCCTTTAATGACACCATGCCAGCTCGCTGGCAGTCCACCCAACCCTGGTGTTGCTAGGATCCACGCTGCAAGATTCTGCTCCTGCTGGGAGACAAATCCAGACATCAGCCTGGCCGCAATCCTCCAAAGAGGGCCGAGACCACGGGTCCATTCCACAGGGTCCGCGTGAACTCAGGATCTGACACCACCTGCTAACCTCTACAAACAAACACGATGGCAAGGTGGGATAGGCTGGAAAGCAGGATGTACTGAGCCATTCTGCTTGGACCCAGAGCAATAGTCAGCATCCTCGGGGGCTTCCAGCATCAGCACCACTAGCACATGGACTCCGGGAAGCACAGAAAAGCACAAAGGAGAGGAAGGGGGAGATGGCTGGCAGCCTTTGCTCGCATCTTCTTTCTTGTCTTCCAGGTCCTGGCTCCTAGTAACACCCACGGCCCCATCCTCCCTGCCTCCTCCCGCAGCCACCAGCCACCGCATCACGCTCGCACAGATACCTCACCGTGGCTAGTCCCCTCCAGGGAGAACACTGTGCAGATTCCAGGCCAAGCCACGTCCCTTCCGTCATCTCCCAGCCCCTTCTCAGGATGTACTGCCTGAGATCTGAGAGGGCTGACATCTCAGGACGTGACACACTTGTAGCTTGCTTTTTCACCCAAAGACAAAATGACTCGGCCAGCTCTCAAACCCTCTTTGACCCAGTGTTAACACCGGGAGCATCTGATGGTAGCCCGATCCTGACACTCCCAGAGGCCTGGTCAGAGGCCACTGTCCACTTCCACTAACCTTGGCCTTCCAAAGAAGGCCTTGTCCTGGTGTCCAGCTCCCCTGGTTCTAAGGTAGAAAGGCCCACATAGTTCTGTCTCCTGGCAACTGGCCAATCTCACCTGCCTCAGCGGGTACAGCACATAGATGGTTCTCACACCCAGGTTGTCACCCTTGGCTCTATGGTTCTATAGGAACCTGGATCTGCTCTGTCCGAGCTTCTCTGGGGCCATTCCACACTCTGCTTTCTGTTCTAGAGCCAAACTTCTCTCTAACACAGGGTGGTCACCCACGAACACCCTCATGGTGTCTCAGGAACTCGGACAGCATATTTGTAAATAGGACAGTTTACAGGCCCTGACTGCCTAATCAGACCTCTTTTCCTACAAGGACACCTTGAGAGCCCATCAATTCTGACTCTCTGAGAGGTCGGGCCCTCTTCCTAAAAGAACATTCTTGAACAGAGAAAAGCTGCACTGCTGAGCTTACTCTCCGGATGTGGAAACTGAGGCTGGGAGAGCGTGTGCACAGGTTCTGAATCACATTGCTATAGCAGGGGGCGGAGCATGGGTTGAGCCACCCGGTGCTGTCACATGGCCTGCTGCACTCCGCAACAGATGTGACCAGTGTGGGAAAGAAGACACAGATGTCCCTCTTCAGCGGGCCCAATCCCCACCCCGAGTCGTCATTATAGACAACTTCTGCATGTCTTTCTTCCCACCATTCAAATCGCTACCAAGCTCCCGCAGTGCCAAGGTGCCATTTGGATTCTAGGTCACAGCTCATTGGAGTAGAAACCGCCAAGGAAACGAGTTTCAGAAAATCCCAGCTAGACAACCTCCTACCTGACACCAATGTCTTATCAACTCACCTTGCCGGCCAGGGCTCCGGCCAGGGCCTTCCGCGGGGTCCAGCCTCACACCACACCGGAGCCCATTTCCCACACCATCAGGACATACAGAGCCATTGGCCGAGATGCCTAAGGCGTTCATATGTGTGGGGATGGGCTCAAAGGTGGGGTCCAGCTCCAAGATCAGCCTGTTAAGCTGCTCAATGGACTGGTCGATATCCAGAGTAGGAGAGCCCGGGGAAGGACCGGTGTTCCGCTCCTGATGGACTCCATTCATGACTCTGTCCTCTGCAAATCTGGGCTGGAGTGCTTTACCAGGACAGAGTGGCTGTGGGTCAGGAGGACTTGGCCCATTGCTGATGCCTCTCTGAACAGCCACCCTGCTGCTGGCCCCACGCGTGGGGGTGACTGGGATGTGGGGTTGGGGCTGGGCAAGGCTAGCACTGTCCACGGTGCTGTGGCTGCCCAGCCTGGCCTCCCCATCTGGGGCAAAGCTGTACTGGTGGGCAGTCACCATCTGCTGCTGACGCACCCAGGTCTGGGTGGAATAGTTGCTTTGCCCATAGGCCTGTGTGGGGGTGGGCGCGGAGGGCTTCCTCAGCAGGGGCTGCAGCTGCCTCGGCTCTCGGTCCCCGCACACCCGCTCCCGCTCACAAAGGGAGTCCACGCCAAGGCCTAGGTCTGGGGAGAGGACACCGTGGTGGTCTTCAGTGACACCATTGCCAAAGCCATCAGACAGGAGGGAGTTCTGGCTGCTCTTGAGGCAGGCGAAGGGGCCCAGGTGGGCCGACTGTGGCCCTTCAGAGGAAGAGAGAGTACCCAGGCTGTCCACACTGTGCAGATCGTGGTGGGGCATCTCATCATCCAGAATGTCAGTCTCACGGTCCTTTAGGGCAGCGTCCCCATTCACATGGACCTGGGCTGGCACCACGTGGCGCGCCCCGCTATACTTGCTGCGGGCATCCGTCATGTCTTTGTGGGAGCTCGACGAGTCTTCCAGGCCGAATCCACTGAGTAGTTGGTCCAGCTCAGCCTTCTCCTGAGGGCTCAGGCCCCTCTGTGCTCCTGGGACTGGCCGCTCTTCAGTCTTATCAGTCCTGGCCGAGGCAGTAGAGTGACCCGAGTCACTGCTGACTGACAGGGTGTGGTCGCCGTGGTCTGGACTGCTGGTAGCTGGCATGCCCTGAGGGCTGCCAGGGATGCCAGAATCTGAGGCACTCTTTTTCCTCACCTTGGCATACAGGCTTCCATCCACTGGGCCCTGAGTGTGTAGCACTGTAGGGAAAGCAAGAGACAGGCCATAAGCCAGGGAGCCAAGGGAATACCAGGTACCACAGTGGGCACGCGGTTACGTCCACAGAGGAGCAAATCTACAGCGCAACTCCACAGAGAACAGGTGCAGACCCAACGGGGGTCCTAAAACTCCATGTATCTCTGTAGAGTGAGCATCAGTAAGAAAGGATTCACATATCAAACATATTTGGCTAAAGTCATTGCTGCCCTTTTGGTTTTGTCCTGGGTGTCATGCTGAGACAGAACCCAGGGTCTCTCGAGTGCTTTATCACCGAGCTCACGCCCCAGCTTCATGCTTGCCCACCCATGTGGGATACCACACACATACACTCACACACAGGCGCGCACGCACATGTACACAAACACACGCACACATATATAGAGAAGTTTGGGGACTCTTTATCCTTTGAGTCTCTAATGTCATTATTTTGAATGTGAAGCCCATCTCGGCTCATGAGCCCCCAAGAATCAACAGCTCATCTATACCTCCATCCCACACTGCTAACATTTTTGAGCATGCAGGTGCCAACCGTCATTAAATCCCCTATGTCGCTGATAAACCTGCCATCCTGTAAACACTCTGGGATACACTTAAATCTAATATGCAGCCCAATGGGAAGGGGAGAATGGGGATGGCTCAGGACCCGTTCACGCTGCATGAGATCCTTGGGCAACACAGGCATCTCACACACACACACACACACACACACACACACAGAATGCCATGAAACAATGTAACGTGGGCAGAAAGAGCTGCTGCCGTTATTAATTAGGGTCCCGGCAGCTGGCTGTACGTGGAGAGTCACCAGCCACAATCTGCTGACTGGCAGCTGTAATTGCCTCGGCCACACAGGGCGTGTCACAGCAAGAGCTTCCTAAAATAAGCCGGGGCTCACAGTCAGCACATCTCCCCTGGAAGCCTCCCCCATTTTCCTGGACTCTCTGCCCTGTGGAATCATAGGCATCCCACAGCAAGGGAGCTGCTGATGACTGGAAACCTAAGCTGTTTGACACAGGCACCTAGGACTCAAGGCTTGGGCCACCATCCGCCTTTCTGGTGGCTACTGAGCCTATATCATGCAGCAGTTCAGGGGAGACTAGCCCTGGGCATGTGTCTCATGGCCCCTGGGTACAGCTGGACACTTGGTCATAGTGATCAGTGGCTGCCTTTTTTTGGAAATACTGGGATGGCTGACATGGTGGGAATGAGGCTAAATGATATGGGGAGGTGTGCCAAATGCTCACACGGCTCTGAGGACACGCCTAGCCTGGGCTCCCTTCTCTATTTAACTGCAGTGTAGGGCAAGCATGCAGAGAAAGAGGGGACCAGGATGGAGAACACTGATTGGGTAGTCTAGCCTGGAAAAGCCCAACCACATCTTAAAGTAGAACTTGGGGGGGAGAAGCCCTGGGGGGTGGGAATCATACACAAGCTGTGAACAGAGCAAGTCTGCGGAGAGAAGGCAGGTGGTGACACGCACGTACGCTGGACGGGGGGCGTGGAGTCACGGACCTTCGTATTGTTATTGCTTGTTTAGGAAGATCAGAGGCTCTAGGAGAGCAAATACGATTAAGCAGCTGTCAGGAGTGGAAAGGCCCAGAATGCAGGCTCCAGGGCCTGGGTGCCTCTGCAGCAGGACACCACCTACCTGTGCACACAGGGCCAGGAGTGCATACACTTGAGGTTCAACTGGTGGTCCTAACTGGGAAGAGTGACACTGAGCCAGGTTTCAGACACAAAGAGACTAAAACCACATTCTACACCCAGCTCTGTGAAAATCAGACAAAAATGCCTGGAAAGATGATCCTGTGTCATCTTGACAAACACTCAAGTGCAGAATCACTGAGGTTTTATAAAGGAATGGCCCCTGGAAACAACACAATCTTGTGCAGAATCACTGAGGCCGCATAAAAGAATGATCAAGGCCACAGCTCGTTCCCAGGCTCTACCAATCAGGGAGTTTACCTAGACCTTCAAATCCCCACGACAACAGGTGGAAGTGATTCTGTGTGGAGGTTGAGCACACCCAGAGCATCGCTATGGGCCCGTGGAAGCTCACTCCATCTGGCATCAGGGTGCTCTGCTGCAGGACACTCAACTGCAGAAGCTCAGTGCACTTCCTTCTGCACTAATCTGCACAGTGTGAGAAAGCACTGCAGAGAAGTCTCTGCTCTGTAAGGATTATAGACACTCCGCTCCTAAACACGCACGCACACACACACACGCACACACACACACACACGCACACACACACACACACACACGCGCGCACACACACAGCAAAATGAAAAGTTTCTGCTCCATAAGAATTATAGACACACTCCGCTCCTACACACACGAACACACACACACGCGCGCGCACACACACACACACACACACACACACACACACACACACACACACACACACACACAGCAAAATGCCAGATAGCTGCTACTCCAGTCCCCTGCAGGCAGCCAGAGCACACATCACAGATCACTGGGACACACAGCTAAGGGCAGAGTGCATGTGGCTAAGCCAGTTCACTTCCAGCTTCCATAAGTCTGAAAGCATGAGTTCTCCATAAACCTCAGTTAGATTGGTACCAAGGTTTAAAAAGAAAAGGGAATGCAAGCATGAACTGCAAGAATATTCCTATAATTTTCTAGTTTAAACTGGAACGCAGCCACAAAAAAAAGTGTCTTCAAAAACTTCTAGAGAAAATCCCTTAGCTGTCCCTATGCAAAGAACAGTTCACCAAGAAGGACCCAGAAAGTGGTAAGAGTGGGCTATTTATACTCTGTCAGGCAGCCAGGAATCATCTTATTGTTGCTCTTATTAATAGCAGCTTTTTAAAAATTTGAGTTGTTAACATTTCTTTGATTGTGTGTATATGGGAGCGGGGGCATTTGCACGCGTACAGTAGTCAAAGGCCAGCAGAGGACATCGGATCCTTTGGAGCTGGAGGAGGTACTGGAGGTAGTGAGCCACCACTAATGTGCCGGGAACCAACTCCAAGGAACTGCAACAGTGGTATGTGTTGCTAACCACCGAGCTACATCTCCAGGCCCAAATAAGAGAAATCTTAAAATGACCATGATGCAGGAAAACAGGGTGATATCTACCCTGCCTATGAGCCTGATCTCAGCCTGGCCCAGTCCAGTTCTGAGTCGCTAAGAGGATCTGATAAACCCTTACAGCTCAGACAGTAAGTACAAGGCTATGTTCCCACAGGCAATCCCAGTGGCTGGAGAGAAAGGGCCATCCAACCCCAACAAGAGCCAGAGACATGCTGGACTCGCTCTCACGGGCTTCCTGCTGCACACATAACTAGCTCTCAACATCACAGCATGCCCAAGAAACCCACACGAAAAGCACACCAAGCCCCCAAGCTGGGCATCTCCTGCTGGAGGATGTAGATAGAGGGCAAGGGAGCCCAGGAAGGCAGAGGGTGCTCCCCAAGGGCTACAGCTCCTCAGCTGCACCAGCCAGCAGGACCCACAGGCAGGAGAGCCAGACGCTCTTGTCCTCACTGTGCCCACCCCATTTGCTGGCTAAGTGTCACCTGTCACCCTCCACTCTGGACACACTAGCTTCTCTTTCACCCAGGAGGACCAGATCCTCACTCGGCCACTGCTCTGTGAAATTTCCAGTCCTGACATTGCTCACTGAGAAAATGAAATAATCATTCCCAGCTTTTAGTGAAGTCACCAGAACTAAAATCATGTACTCAAAGCGCTCTGCCCACTGACCCCAAAGAAAGGCACCCATTGGCAGTACCGAAAAGCTACTTCTACGGTGGGTGAGGAAGTGCCTCAGGGCCTTCGCCCTCACCGCCTCCAGGGCCCCCCATTCCTCGTCCCTGCGGGGGTTTTGCTTATGCACAGCAAGCATCAATGTTGACCACCCATCCTGAGCTGCTCAGCTCCGCGGCAGAGATCTCCTCTGCATTGCTTCCTCTAGCAACTCTGGCGCGAAAGAACAGCCCTGGCACCCAGTGGTGAGTTAACAATCGAGAGACTTTCCCCAGCTCATCACCACGTGACAAAACCTGGGCCACATCAGTAAGGATCTAAAAGTAGATGTGCCCAGCAGCCCTGGGCCGCCTGCAGCTGGCTGTCCCATACTCTTCCAGACAGCATACCAGCTCTGACTGTCCACACAAGGCACGGGCAGGGCTGCCAGTCACTCTTCGCTCTCTTGGCAGGCTTTCACAGGACAAAGAGCAGAAGTAGGAAAGTCCCTGGAGAGGGCCAACCTCGGACTCCAGAAAATTAAAGAAACCCCAAGTCCCTAATATGTTAGTGCAATACGCCCACAGAGTAAGAGGCAGCCGTGGAAGGTATGCGGGATGCGCGGCTGTTCTCTGGCCAGTGGGCTATGAACCAGGCCAACGCAGAGGAAGACAGCACGTGGGCCAGCAGGAGGGACGGTGCCGTGCCACTTCCCGTCTCCTGGGCTCTTGCCACCTCTGGACAGCGGGGCTGGGAATCAGCCCCTCCTCTGTGCGTATCTGTGTCTAGCGTTGCTAAGCCACATGGGCAGCAAAGGCCATCTCATCTCGGTGCCGGTGTGTCTAAAGTAATACAAAAGTTGCTAAGAATGACACAAAGAGCATCCTGGTAGAGATGAAACTTCAGTGCGAGCACCGGCTAGTTGCAATCTTGCCAACCAACCCAAAGAAGAACCTAGACTTCACTGTTGCAGGCCCTTAGGGACCTGGGCTAAACACTGAAGGACGTCCGCCATTCCCTAAGGCAGACAGCACCTTATCATGTAGCTCTGGTATGGAAAAGTGGTGCCAAAAAGAAACTTACTGTCTTCATCCAGACCGAAGAAACAACTGCTGACGAACACACCCCTATGGGTCCTGGGGCCCTGGTTCACCCTCCCCCACAATGCCGCAGGGTTCCCAAGCCCCCTTCTCCTATGGAACACAGTGTCCTGCCTAAGCTGCTAGTATTTGAGGATGGAGTGTAAGATGTAAGATTCTGGAGGTTG